GAACCCCCAAAAACCTCCCCTGGATCCCCCAAAATGCCCCAAAAACCTCCCCAAGACCCCAAAATTCTCCTCAGGATCCCAAAAACTGCACCAAAACCCCCAAAAATCTCCCCTGGATCCCCCAAAATGCCCCAAAAACCTCCCCAAGACCCCAAAAACCTCTTCAGGATCCCAAAAACCTCCCCAGGACCCCCCAAAACCTCCCCTGGACTCCCCCAAGACCCCAAAAACCTCCCTTGGAGACCCCAAAATTCTCCTCAGAACCCCCAAAACCTCCCCAAAATTCTCCTTAGGATCCCCCAAAACCTCCCCGAGACCCCAAAAACCTCCTCAGGATCCCAAAAACCGCCCCAAAACCCCCAAAATTCTCCTCAGGATCCCAAAAACCGCCCCAAACCCCCCAAAATTCTCCTCAGGATCCCAAAAAATCTCCCCAAAACCCCCAAAACCCCCTCTGGACCCCCCCAAGTGCCCAAAAAACCTCCCCAAGACCCCAAAAACCTCTTCAGGATCCCAAAATTCTCCTCAGGATCCCAAAAACTGCCACAAAACCCCCAAAACCTACCCTGGACCACTCAAAAACCTCCCCTGGACCCCCCAGAAACTTCCTCAGGATCCCAAAAACCACCTCAAGACCCCAAAAACCTCCCCTGGACCCCAAAATTCTCCTCAGGATCCCAAAAACTGCCACAAAACCCCCAAAACCTACCCTGGACCACTCAAAAACCTCCCCTGGACCCCCCAGAAACTTCCTCAGGATCCCAAAAACCACCTCAAGACCCCAAAAACCTCCCCTGGACCCCAAAATTCTCCTCAGGATCCCAAAAACTGCCACAAAACCCCCAAAACCTACCCTGGACCACTCAAAAACCTCCCCTGGACCCCCCAGAAACTTCCTCAGGATCCCAAAAACCACCTCAAGACCCCAAAAACCTCCCCTGGACCCCAAAATTCTCCTCAGGATCCCAAAAACTGCCACAAAACCCCCAAAACCTACCCTGGACCACTCAAAAACCTCCCCTGGACCCCCCAGAAACTTCCTCAGGATCCCAAAAACCACCTCAAGACCCCAAAAACCTCCCCTGGACCCCAAAATTCTCCTCAGGATCCCAAAAACTGCCACAAAACCCCCAAAACCTACCCTGGACCACTCAAAAACCTCCCCTGGACCCCCCAGAAACTTCCTCAGGATCCCAAAAACCACCTCAAGACCCCAAAAACCTCCCCTGGACCCCAAAATTCTCCTCAGGATCCCAAAAACTGCCCCAAAACCCCCAAAATTCTCCTCAGGACCCCCCAAAACCCCCCCGGACCCCCCTTTTCCCCCCTCCAGACGCCGCCCCGGCCTCGCCGAGCGACAACGACGAGGAAGAGCCGCCCCCAGAACCTCTGGAAAAACCCGAAATCCCCGGAACGCCGCCGGCTCCAAATCCCAAATCCCCCCCGATCCCCGACTCCCCCAAATCCGAGACCCCGAGGGCGGAGCCCCAATCCCGAAAAAACCCGGGGAGACGCCGAGGAAAACCCAAGAAGTTCCGGAATTTTCGCTGCCACGACTGCGGCAAAGCCCTGGCGCCGCCGAAACGCCGGCGAGGGACGGAACGACCCCATAAATGCCCGGAATGCGGGAAAAGTTTCCGGCTGAGCTCCAGCCTGGTGACCCACCAGCGCCGGCATTCCGGGGAAAATCCCTACAAGTGCCCGGATTGCGGGAAATCCTTCAGCGTGGGCTCGGCGTTCATCCAGCACCAACGGATCCACGGCGGCGCGGCGCCGTGTCGCTGCGGGGTCTGCGGGAAGAGTTTCCCGGCGAGTTCGGGCTTGGTGAAGCACCAGAAGGTTCATTTGGAGGAGAAACCCTACAAGTGCGGGGATTGCGGGAAGGGCTTTAATTGGAATTCCCACTTGGAGCGGCACCGGAGGATTCACACCGGGGAGAAACCCTACGCGTGCCCGGAATGCGGGAAGAGCTTCTCCTGGAGCTCGCATTTGGATCGGCACCGCCGAACCCACGCGGCGGCGGCGGCGGCGGCGGCAACGGGCGGGAGATGCGCCGAGTGCGGGGAATGCGGGAAGGGATTCCCGAAAAACGCCGGGAATCCCCAAATCCCGAAAAAACGCCGGGAATCGGCGGAGAAGCCGCACAAATGCGGGGAATGCGGGAAGGGGTTCGGCGCGGCGGCGGCGTTGGCGCAGCACCGGCGCGGTCACGCTCCCGGGAAACCTTACGAGTGCCGGGAATGCGGGAAAAGCTTTTCCTGGAGTTCCCACTTGGATCGGCACCGCCGGATCCACATGGGGGAAAAACCGTTCCGCTGCGGGAATTGCGGGAAGAGCTTTTCCCAAAGTTCCCACTTGGAGCGGCACCGGAAAATCCACGGGGAGCCGTGCCGGGAATGCGGGAAAAACGAGGGGAGGAAAAGCGGGAGAAGCTTCCAGAAGCGCTGTCGGATTTCGGGGGAGGAGGGCGGGGACGGCGGGGCGGATTCGGAGCGGGGAGAGGAGGAAAAATGCGGGGAGCGCGGGGAAAATTCGGGACGGGGCGGCGGGAATTCGACGGATCGGGGAACGCAGACCGGAGGGAAAACGTTGGCGTGCCCGGAGTGCGGGAAAAGCTTCGGGCAAAACTCGGCGCTGGCCAAACACCGGCGGCTCCACAGCGGAGAGAAACCCTACAAGTGCCCGGAATGCGGGAAAAGCTTCGGAGTTCGGTCCAACCTCATCAAGCACCAACGGACTCACCTGGGGGAGAAACCCTACAAGTGCCCGGAATGTTCCAAAGGGTTCATCCAAAAATCCGACCTCACCATCCACCGCCGGATGCACACGGGGGAGAAACCCTACAAGTGCCAGGAGTGCGGGAAATGTTTCAGCGTCTCCTCCAATCTCATCAAGCACCAGCGGATCCATCTGGGGGAAAAACCCTTCCAGTGCTCGGAGTGCGGGAAGAGCTTCATCCAACGCTCCGAGCTCACCATCCACCGCCGCGTCCACACCGGAGAGAAGCCCTACAAGTGTCCGGAGTGCGGGAAATGCTTCAGCCGCAGCTCCCACCTCAACCGGCACCAGCGCACCCACGCCGGCGACAAGGCCGGACGCGCCAAAGCCGCCGCGGCTTCTTCGGCGGCGCCGGCGTCGTCGTCCTCGCGGGCGGTTCCGGCTCCGGCGGTTCCCGGGGGTTTGGCTTTCCCGGCGTTCCCGGGCTCCTCGGCCGTGCCGGCGGCGTTGGAGCTGCCCTGGGCGTTGGCGTTGCCGGGCCGGGCGTTCCCGGGTTTTCCGGCGGGTTCGGTGGGTAATTAGTGGAGGGGTTAATTAGTGGAGGGGTTAATTAGGGTGGGGGGTTGGGTTTGGTCGTTAATTAAGCGGGGAGATGGGGAATTCCCGGCGTTCCGTGGTTCCCGGCGTTCCCGGTGCTCCCAGTGCCCAACTGGGATCAAAGATCCATCAATGGGATTGGTTCCAATTAATTCCCATGGCTAATTAATGATTTTTAATTAATTAGGGGTGAATCCATTCATTATTTCATTAATTAAGTGGGGAATTCCCATCATTCCGTGGTTCCGGTCATTTCCCGGCATTCCCAGTGCTCCCAGTGCCCAACTGGGATTGGTCGACCCCAAGACTCAACGTTGGGATTGGTCCCAACTCGTTCCCATGGCTAATTAACGATCTCTAATTAATTAGGGATGAATCCATTCATTAATTCATTAATTAAGTGGGGAATTCCCATCATTCCGTGGTTCCGGTCATTTCCCGGCATTCCCGGTGCTCCCAGTGCCCAACTGGGATCAAAGATCCATCAATGGGATTGGTCCCAACTCGTTCCCATTCAAATTTGGTGGCTAATTAACGATCTCAAATTAATTAGGGTTGGGTTTGGTCGTTAATTAAGCGGGGAGATGGGGAATTCCCGGCGTTCCGTGGTTCCCGGCGTTCCCGGTGCTCCCAGTGCCCAACTGGGATCAAAGATCCAACGTTGGGATTGGTCCCAACTCGTTCCCGTGGCTAATTAACGATCTCAAATTAATTAATTAGGGGTGAATCCATTCATTAATTCATTAATTAAGTGAGGAATTCCCATCATTCCGTGGTTCCGGTCATTCCCAGTGCTCCCAGTGCCCAACTGGGATTGGTGGATCCCAAGACTCAACGTTGGGATTGGTCCCAACTCGTTCCCGCGGCTAATTAACGATCTCAAATTAATTAATTAGGGGTGAATTGGTTCATTAATTCATTAATTAAGTGAGGAATTCCCATCATTCCGTGGTTCCGGTCATTCCCAGTGCTCCCAGTGCCCAACTGGGATTGGTGGATCCCAAGACTCAAAGTCGGGATTGGTCCCAACTCATTCCCGTGGCTAATTAACGATCTTTAATTAATTAATTAGGGGTGAATCCATTCATTAATCCATTGGGAACATGAGGAATTCCCGGCATTCCGTGGTTCTGCTCATTTCCCGGCATTCCCAGTGCTCCCAGTGCCCAACTGGGATTGGTCGATCCCAAATTCCGCCCTCGGCGCCGTCGTTTTCCGGGAATTCTTTGGGATTTCTGGGGAATTTTTTGGGAATTTTTTGGGATTTTCCAGAATTTTCCGTTCCTGGTGAATTTTTTTGGGGGGGGATTTTCCCTTTTTTTTTTTAGGGATTTTTTTTGGGGGGGGGAGGGGACGGGGAGGGAAAAATTCCGGATTTTTCCAAAGGTGGGGGGAAAAAAAATCGGGAATGAGGGTGGGGAAAATGAGGAAAAAACGGGAAAAAAAAGGAATTCGGGTTGGGAATGGAATTTTTCTTAAAATCTTGGAAAAGGAGGAGAAAAGTCTTGGAAAAATCGGGAATTGTGGGAGGATTTTGACGGAAAAATGGAGGAAAAATGAGGAATTTTGGAGGTTTTTTTGGGAAAATGAAGGAGGAAAGAGGGAAAATGTGGGGAAAATGATGGAAAACATGGAAAATTATGGAAAAATATGGAAAAATTGGGAAAAAATTGGGAAAATGTGGAAAAAATACGGAAAAATGTGTAAAATTATGGAAAAAATACGGGAAAATGTGGGAAAAATGATGGAAAAATGAGGAAAAATGTGGGAAAACGTGGAAAAAATGTGGAAAAAAGTGAAAAATCTTGGGAAAATACGGAAAAAATTATGGGAAAATGTGGGAAAATGGGAAAATGTGGGAAAATGATGGAAAAATGTCTAAAAATATTGGGAAAATGTGGAAAAAATTATGGAAAAATGTGGAAGAAAAGTGGAAGAAATGTGGTGAAATATGGAAAAATTATGGAAAAATGTGGGAAAATGTGGAATAAATATTGGAAAAAATATGGAAAAATTTGAAAAAATATGGAAAAATGTGGGGAAAATGTGGAAAATATGGAAAAATGTGGGGGAAATGTGGAAAATATGGAAAAATATTGGGAAAAATATGGAAAATGTGGAAAAAATGTGGAAAAACATTCAGAAAATGAGGAAAAATATTGGAAAATTGTGGAAAAATGTGGAAAAAAGGTTGGAAATTGTGGAAAAAATATGGAAAAATGGGGGAAATATTGGGAAAATGTGGAATAAATATGGAAAAATGTGGGGAAAATGCGGAAAAATGTTGGAAAAACGATGGAAAAATATTAAACATACGGGAAAATTCCGGAAAATGGCGAAGTGAAGGAAAAGGGGGGTTGGAATATTGAAAAATTGGGGAAGAAACAATTGAATTATCCCAAAATTCTGGGAAAACGGGAGAAATCCAAGAAATTCCCCATTTTCCGAGGTCGAGGCGAAGCCGAATTTTTTTTTTCCAGGAAAAATTCCGGAATTTTCTCCGCGGCGCCGTTGGGATTCGCCCTTTTCCACGAGTAGAAATAAATTAGAAATTCCCAGATTTTCTCTGCCTGGAGTTTTTTTTTTTCCATGGAAAACGGGATCCAAATCCGAGTTTTGGGGGGATATTCCCATTTTTGGGGGGTTTTATTCCCATTTTTTGGGGTTTTCCCATTTTTTTTGTCTTTTCCTGGTTTTTTTCAGGTTTTTTTCCCATTTTTTTGGGCTTTTTTCACTTTTTTTTTTGAGTTTTCCCAATTTTTTGTCTTTTCCTGGTTTCCTTCAGGGATTTTTTCCCATTTTTTTCGTATTTTTCCCATTTTTTTGGGGCTTTTCCTGAGGTTTTCCAGATTTTTTTTGAGGATTTTCCCATTTTTGGGGGTTTTTTTCCCCATTTTTTGGGGGGTTTTCCCAATTTTTTTATATTTTCCTGGTTTTTTTAGGGTTTTTTTCCCATTTTTTGGGTTTTTTTCCCATTTTTTTTTTGGCTTTTCCTGAGGTTTTCCAGATTTTTTTGTGGATTTTTCCATTTTTTGGGGTTTTTTTCCCATTTTTTGAGGAATTTTCCCAATTTTTTTGTCTTTTCCTGGCTTTTTTCAGGGATTTTTCCCATTTTTTTCGTATTTTTCCCGTTTTTTGGTTTTTTTCCCATTTTTTTGGCTTTTCCTGAGGTTTTCCAGATTTTTTTGTGGATTTTCCATTGTTTGGGGTTTTTTTTTCCCATTTTTCGAGGAGTTTTCCCAATTTTTTTGTCTTTTCCTGGCTTTTTTCAGGGATTTTTCCCATTTTTTTCGTATTTTTCCCGTTTTTTGGTTTTTTTCCCATTTTTTTGGCTTTTCCTGAGGTTTTCCAGATTTTTTTTGTGGATTTTCCCAGGATTTTTTTTTGTTTTTTCCAGTTTTTTTCCCAAGATTTTCCCATTTAATTTTTTTGGAGGGGGTTGTCTGTAATTCCCATTTTTTGGGGGTTTTCCCACTTTTTTCCAAGGAATTTTCCAGGAATTTTTTTGGGGGTTTTCCTGAAGGAAAAAATCTTTGGGATCGAGATTGAATTGAGAAAAAAAAAAAATTGGGATTAAACTCATCCCTAAAACTCGGGAAAATCCCTAAAAAAAAATGGGAAAAAGCCAAAAAATTCCCAAAAAAATTCATGGATGAGGAGAAAAAAGTCGGGAATGTCGGGATGGGAAAAGAAGGAATTACAACAAGAAGGGATTTTATTGATATCGAGAGACTTTTCCGGGATTTTTTTTTTCCCAAATTCCTGAAGTTTTCTTGGATTTCCTGGAATTCCAGCTGGGGATTTTTTTTTGGGGGGGGATTTTTGGGATGTGACGGAGCTGGAAAAAAATTCCATGGGAATTCCCAGGGCTGCCTCGAACCGGGGGGGTTCTCATCACAGCCCCCCCTCAAATCCCAGAATTCCCAAAATTCCCGGGATTTAGCCCCCAAATTCCAGGGATTTATTCCCAAAAAACCCAAATTCCCGGGATTTAAGCCCAAAACCCCCAAATTCCTGGGACTTAGCCCCCAAATTCCAGGGATTTATTCCCAAAACCCCCAAATTCCTGGGATTTAAGCCCCAAATTCCATGGATTTATTCCCAAAAACCCAAATTCTAAGGATTTATTCCCAAAAAAACCCCAAATTCCTGGGATTTATTCTCAAAACCCCCAAATTCCCGGGATTTAAGCCCCAAATTCCAGGGATTTATTCCCAAAATTCCCTCCAGGAATTCCTTTGGAATCCCAATCCCATTCCTTGGGGGGCTTTTTTGGGAATTTCTGGGATATCCTCGGGATTTTTTTGGGATTTTTTTGGGATTTCATGGAATTTTCCAGGATTTCCTCCAGATTTTGGGGGATTTTTTGGGATTTTTCTGGAAATCCTTGGAATTTCATGGGACTTCCCAGGATTTCTTTGGGATTTTTTGGGCTTTCCTTGGGATTTTCCTGGATTTTGAGGGAATTTTTGGGATTTCTTGGGATTTCCCAGGATTTTTTAGGATTTTCTTGGAATTTTGAGGGATTTTTTTGGATTTCCTCGGGATTTCCCAGGATTTCCTTGGGATTTTGCAGGATTTTTTTGTATTTTTCAGGATTTTGTGGGATTCCCTTGGGATTTTTTGGAATTTCCCACGATTTTTGGGGATTTTTTAGGATTTCCCAGGATTTTTTTGAATTTCCTTGGGATTTTTTGGGATTTCCCAGGATTTTTTGGGATTTCCTTGGAATTTTGGGGGATTTCCTGGGATTTCGTGGAATTCCCTTGGAATTCTGTGGGATTTCCTTGCAATTTTGTGAGACTCCCTTGGAATTTTTGGGGATTTTCCAGGATTTTTTGGGATTTCCTTGGGATTTTCCAGGATTTTTTACGATTTCCTTGGGATTTCTTGGAATTCCCCACGATTTTTTTGGGATTTCCCAAAACTCCTTTAAAACTCCCCAATTCCCCGAGGATTTCATCTCAAAACCCCCAAAAAATCCCAAAAAAACCCCAAAATTCCCCCAAAATCCCAAAAAAATCCCCAAATTCCCAAGAAATCCCAAAAAATCCCCAAAAAAAACCAAAAATCCAAAAAAAACCCCAAAAATCCCCAAAAATTCCCCAAAACCCCCCAAAAATTCCCAAGAAATCCCAAAAATTCCCAAAAAAACCCCAAAAATCCCCAAAAATTCCCCAAAACCCCCAAAAATTCCCAAGAAATCCCAAAAAATCCCAAAAAAACCCCAAAAATTCCAAAAAAACACCAAAAATTCCCCCAAAATCCCCCAAAATTCCCAAGAAATCCCAAAAAATCCCAAAAAAACCCCAAAAATTCCAAAAAAAACCCAAAAATTCCCCCAAAATTCCCAAGAAATCCCAAAAAACCCCCAAAAATCCCCAAAAAATTCCCAAAAAACCCCAAAAATTCCCCAAAAATCCTCCAAAATTCCCAAGAAATCCCAAAAAAAACCCAAAAAATCCCCCAAAATTCCCAAAAAAATCCTAAAATTCCCAATAAATCCGAAAAAAAACCCCCAAAAATTCCCCAAAAAATCAGAGGCTGACGCTCCGATGGTGCCGGAAATTCCGCCTCCTCTCCCTCCCCTCCCCCAACTCCTCTCCCTGCAGACTCAGCGCATCCGGAATTCCCGAAATCCCGGGAATTCCCGCCAAATGTTCCACGGAGTCGAACTTCTGCAGATCCGAGGCGATGGTCTGGAGGCTCAGCACCGACAGAGAATCCCCGGACGTTGAAATTCCCGCCGGAATTCCGGGAATCCCGGGATCTTCCCCGCCCGTCCTACCGGGAATTCCCGGGGTTTCGGGGTTTTGGGATCCTCCCTCGGCTCCCAGAGGGTTTTCCCGGTGTTTTTTCCGGAGGATTCTCTGGAATCGGCGGGCGTGGATTTCTTCGCTGATCTGTTCCAGGTTGCGGAGGGCGACGGAATAGCGGAGCTTGGCTTGGGAGACGGCGGATTCCAGGGAATTCACGCGGGATTTGTGCTCCTGGGAAAGGGAAAAAGTCGGGAATTGTGAGGGGGTTGGGAAAAGTGTTGGAAGTTCTGGTGGAAATCAACAAAAATTTGGGGAAAATCCGGTGAGAATCGGGTGAAAAATGGGGAAAAAATTGGTTTATTCCTTGAAAAATCCAAGGAATTCATGAAAATTCCATGGAATTCCTAAAAATTCCAAGGAATTCCTAAAACTTTCTTGTATTCCATCAAAACTTGGTAAAAAAAAATTGATAAAAATCCCTTAAAATTCAGTTTAAATCCTTAAAAGTTGTGTTTAATTCCCTAAAAATTCCAAGGAATTCCCAAAAATTCCAAGGAATTCTGAAGAATTCCATGGAATTCCTAAAAATTCCAAGGAATTCCTAAAACTTTCTTGTATTCCATCAAAACTTGGTAAAAAAAAATTGATAAAAATCCCTAAAAATTCAGTTTAGATCCCTAAAAAATCCCTTTCCCAGTGCTCCCAGTTAATCCCAGTGCCTCTCCCAGTATTCCCAGTGCCTCTCCCAGTATTCCCAGTGCTCCCAGTACCTCCAGCCTCTGGTTGAACTGGGCTTTCAGCTCGAAGTAGGGCCGGCTGCGGGCGATGTCGCGCCTCAGGGATTTCTGCAGCCGCTGCACCTCGGCCTCGGCCTCCTGGCACAGCCTGGTCACCCTCTGGTGCTCCCGCTCGCTCCAGAGCCGCTCCTGCTCCGCCTCGTTCACCTGGAATTCCGGGAATTCCCGGAATTCCCGGAATTCCCGGAGGGAAGGGGGGGGGGAAGGAAAAAAACCGGGTGAAAATCGGGTGAGGAACGGCCGCGAAATGGAGGAAAAGGGACCTGAGGAAATTCCCGGATTCCCGAATTTCCTTCTCCAGTCGTTCCCAAACCTTCTCCAATCCCATTCCCACCATCCCAAACCTTCTCCAATCATTCCCAAACCTTCTCCAATCATTCCCAAACCTTCTCCAATCATTCCCAAACCTTCTCCAATCATTCCCAAACCTTCTCCAATCATTCCCAAACCTTCTCCAATCATTCCCAAACCTTCTCCAATCATTCCCAAACCTTCTCCAATCATTCCCAAACCTTCTCCAATCATTCCCAAACCTTCTCCAATCATTCCCAAACCTTCTCCAATCATTCCCAAACCTTCTCCAATCATTCCCAAACCTTCTCCAATCATTCCCAAACCTTCTCCAATCATTCCCAAACCTTCTCCAATCATTCCCAAACCTTCTCCAATCATTCCCAAACCTTCTCCAATCATTCCCAAACCTTCTCCAATCATTCCCAAACCTTCTCCAATCATTCCCAAACCTTCTCCAATCATTCCCAAACCTTCTCCAATCATTCCCAAACCTTCTCCAATCATTCCCAAACCTTCTCCAATCATTCCCAAACCTTCTCCAATCATTCCCAAACCTTCTCCAATCATTCCCAAACCTTCTCCAATCATTCCCAAACCTTCTCCAATCATTCCCAAACCTTCTCCAATCATTCCCAAACCTTCTCCAATCATTCCCAAACCTTCTCCAATCATTCCCAAACCTTCTCCAATCATTCCCAAACCTTCTCCAATCATTCCCAAACCTTCTCCAATCATTCCCAAACCTTCTCCAATCATTCCCAAACCTTCTCCAATCATTCCCAAACCTTCTCCAATCATTCCCAAACCTTCTCCAATCATTCCCAAACCTTCTCCAATCATTCCCAAACCTTCTCCAATCATTCCCAAACCTTCTCCAATCATTCCCAAACCTTCTCCAATCATTCCCAAACCTTCTCCAATCATTCCCAAACCTTCTCCAATCATTCCCAAACCTTCTCCAATCATTCCCAAACCTTCTCCAATCATTCCCAAACCTTCTCCAATCATTCCCAAACCTTCTCCAATCATTCCCAAACCTTCTCCAATCATTCCCAAACCTTCTCCAATCATTCCCAAACCTTCTCCAATCATTCCCAAACCTTCTCCAATCATTCCCAAACCTTCTCCAATCATTCCCAAACCTTCTCCAATCATTCCCAAACCTTCTCCAATCATTCCCAAACCTTCTCCAATCATTCCCAAACCTTCTCCAATCATTCCCAAACCTTCTCCAATCATTCCCAAACCTTCTCCAATCATTCCCAAACCTTCTCCAATCATTCCCAAACCTTCTCCAATCATTCCCAAACCTTCTCCAATCATTCCCAAACCTTCTCCAATCCATCCCAAACCTCCTCCAGCCATCCCAAATTCCCAAATTCCCACCATTTCCCCACCTTCCTGGTGGCGTGGTTGAGCATCTCCTGCCAGGTGGGATCCAGGCGGTTTTTCCCGGTCCCCAAATTCCCTTCTCCAGCCATTCCCAAACCTTCTCCAATCCCATTCCCACCATCCCAAACCTCATCCCACCCATCCCAATCCCTCTCCAACCCATCCCAAACCTTCTCCAGTCCCATTCCCACCATCCCAAACCTTCTCCATCCATCCTAAACCTTCTCCAATCCCATTCCAACCCATCCCAAACCTTCTCCAATCCATCCCAAATCCCATTCCCACCATCCCAAACCTTCTCCAATCATTCCCAAACCTTCTCCAATCCATCCCAAACCTCCTCCAGCCATCCCAAATTCCCAAATTCCCACCATTTCCCCACCTTCCTGGTGGCGTGGTTGAGCATCTCCTGCCAGGTGGGATCCAGGCGGTTTTTCCCGGTGCCCATTCCCTGCTCGGCCACGAACACCATTTCCCGCGCCGCGTTGTGCATCCCCACCGCCCGCTCGTACCGCAGCGCCGCCCGCTGCGTCTCCTGCTGCGCCTGGAAAGCCGGGAATTCCGGGAATACCGGGAATTTCTGGGAATTTCGGGAATTTCTGGGAATTCCGGGAATTTCTGGGAATGTCGGGGAGGTTCTGGTGGAGGTTGGTGGGTGGGGTGGGGATTGGGAGGGGTGGGGTGAGGTTTGGGATGGTGGGAAGGGGATTGGAAAAGGTTTGGGAATGGTTGGGGAAGGCTTGGGATGGGTTGGAGAAGGTTTAGGATAGTTGGAATGGGCTTGGAAAAGGTTTGGGATGGATGGAGAAGGTTTGGGATGGTTGGATGAGGTTTGGGATGGGTTGGAGAAGGTTTGGGATGATGGGAAGGGGATTTGGGATGGTTGGATGAGGTTTGGGATGGGTTGGAGAAGGTTTGGGATGATGGGAAGGGGATTTGGGATGGTTGGATGAGGTTTGGGATGGGTTGGAGAAGGTTTGGGATGATGGGAAGGGGATTTGGGATGGTTGGATGAGGTTTGGGATGGGTTGGAGAAGGTTTGGGATGATGGGAAGGGGATTTGGGATGGTTGGATGAGGTTTGGGATGGGTTGGAGAAGGTTTGGGATGATGGGAAGGGGATTTGGGATGGTTGGATGAGGTTTGGGATGGGTTGGAGAAGGTTTGGGATGATGGGAAGGGGATTTGGGATGGTTGGATGAGGTTTGGGATGGGTTGGAGAAGGTTTGGGATGATGGGAAGGGGATTTGGGATGGTTGGATGAGGTTTGGGATGGGTTGGAGAAGGTTTGGGATGATGGGAAGGGGATTTGGGATGGTTGGATGAGGTTTGGGATGGGTTGGAGAAGGTTTGGGATGATGGGAATGGGATTTGGGATGGTTGGATGAGGTTTGGGATGGATGGAGAAGATTTGGGAAGGGTTGGAAGTTTTGAGATGGGAATTCTCATTTTTCCTGCAATTTTTGGGGGATTTTTTTCAATTTTTTTCCCAAATTTTCCCCAGATTTTCCCATTTTTCCCAGATTTTTCCCCAAAATCCCGGTACCTCCTCGACTCTCCATCATTCCTCACACTGGATTGAATTTGGGATGGGAATTCCCATTTTTCCTGCAATTTTTGGGAGATTTTTTCCATTTTTTCCCTTTTTTTTCCCAAATTTTCCCATTTTTTCCCAAATTTTCCCATTTTTCCCAGATTTTTCCCCAAAATCCCGGTACCTCCTCGACTCTCCATCATTCCTCACACTGGATTGAATTTGGGATGGGAATTCCCATTTTTCCTGCAATTTTTGGGAGATTTTTTCCATTTTTTCCCTTTTTTTTCCCAAATTTTCCCATTTTTTCCCAAATTTTCCCATTTTTCCCGGATTTTTCTCCAAAATCCCGGTACCTCCTCGACTCTCCATCATTCCTCACACTGGATTGAATTTGGGATGGGAATTCCCATTTTTCCCATTTTTCCTGCAATTTTGGGGGGATTTTTTTTGGGTTTTTTTTCAATTTTTCCCCATTTTTTCCCAAATTTTTCCCAAATTTTCCCGTTTTTCCCGGATTTTTCCCCAAAATCCCGGTACCTCCTTGGCTCTCCTCCGGGCCTCGTAGTAGGGCCGGGCCCTCTCGATGCAATTCCCGAGTTGGGATCCTTGGGAATTCAATTTCCGGGCGGAATCCGAGAGGATGCGGCGATAGCGGGAACGGGCGGCCTGCGGGGGAGAAAAACCAGTTTGGGACTGGTTTGAACTGGGACGGACTGGGAGAGCAGGCAGGGAACTGGGAAAAGCGGTTTGGGATTGGGAAAAGCGGTTTGGGACTGGTTTGGAACTGGGAAAACCAGTTTGGGGTTGGGAAAACCAGTTTGAGATTGGGAAAACCAGTTTGGGATTGGGAAACCAGGATTGGAAACCAGCTTGGGATTGGGAAAACCAGTTTGGGACTGGTTTGGACTGGTTTGGAATTGGGAAAACCAGTTTGGGACTGGGAAAACCAGTTTGGGGTTGGGAAAACCAGTTTGGGATTGGTTTGGACTGGTTTGGAGGGGGAAACCAGTTTGGGACTGGGAAAACCAGTTTGGGGTTGGAAAAGAAGGACTGGGAACCAGTTTGGGACTGGTTTGGACTGGGAAAACCAGTTTGGGATTGAGAAAACCAGTTTGGAATTGGGAGAGACTGAAAAAACCAGTTAAAGGATGGGAAACCAGTTTGGAACTGGTTTGGAACTGGGATGGACTGGGAGAGCAGGCAGGGAATGGGAAAACCAGTTCCCTCCCAGTTCATCCCAGTTTATCCCAGTTTGTCCCAGTTCATCCCAGTTTGTCCCAGTTCATCCCAGTCCATCCCAGTCCCTCCCAGTTTGTCCCAGTTCATTCCCAGTCCCTCCCAGTTTGTCCCAGTCCCCTCCCAGTTCCTCCCAGTCCCGTCCCAGTCCACCCCAGTTTGTCCCAGTTCATTCCCAGCCCCTCCCAGTTCATCCCAGTCCATCCCAGTTCCTCCCAGTTCATTCCCAGCCCCTCCCAGTTCCTCCCAGTTCATCCCAGTCCATCCCAGTTCATCCCAGTCCCTCCCAGTTCATCCCAGTCCCCTCCCAGTCCCTCCCAGTTCAACCCAGTATCCCCAAATCCCCATTTCCCACCATTTCCTCCCTATTTTTGCCTCCAAAAATCCCATTTTTTTCCCCATTTTTCGCCCCAAACCCCTCTCCCAGTTCCTCCCAGTTCATCCCAGTCCATCCCAGTTTGTCCCAGTCCATCCCAGTTTGTCCCAGTCCATCCCAGTTTATCCCAGTCCATCCCAGTTGCTCACGTCCAGCTCCAGCTCCCCGCGATTGATTTCAGCGTTGGCCTCGTTCAGGTGCTCCAGCTCCTCCTGCAGCCAAAATTTTGGGATCAAAACCCCCCAAAATTCCGGGAAAAACAACCCCAAAATTCCCAAAATTTAGGGGATCCTAAAAACCGGGAAAAGGAAGGAAAAAATTCGGGATAAAAACACCAAAAGTTCAGGAAAAGGGATCAAAAATCTGCCCCAAATCCCGAAATTTCAGGGATTTCACCCTAAAAATCCCAAAATTTGGACCCCAAACCCCCCAAAATCCCAAAATTTCTGGGATTCACCTCAAAATTTCCCTCAAAATCCCAAAAATTTCTGGGATTTCCCCCCAAAATCCCAAATTTTCTGGGATTCACCTCAAAATCCCAAAATTTCTGGGATTTACGCCCAAAATCCCAAAATTTGGACCCAAAACTCCCCAAATTCCCAAAATTTCTGGGATTCACCTCAAAATTTCCCTCAAAAATCCCAAAAATTTCCGGGATTCACCTCAAAATTTCCCTCAAAATCCCAAAAATTTCCGGGATTTCCCCCCAAAATCCCAAAATTTCTGGGATTCACCTCAAAATCTCCCTCAAAATCCCAAATTTTCTGGGATTTTCATTCCAAAACCTCGAATCCCCTCCCCAAAAATTCCCAAGTTTTGGGATTTTTTTTCCCCCCGGAATTCCCACCTGGATCCGGGGGTCCAGCTCTTCCTCCTCCTCCTCCTCGTCCTCCTCCTCCTCCTTCGGGGGATTCCCGGGATTTTCCGAATCCCCCATTTTGGGATCCCCCAAAATTCCAGGGGGCCATCCAAGGGTGGGGAGGGGCCTCAGTTCATTTTTTCGGGAATTTCGGGGGGAATTCTGAAGGAATTTCGGGAGTTTGGGATTGGAGGAGGCCTGGAAAAGGAAAAAAAAAATAAAAAAAAAGGGAAAAAGTTAAAATTTTGTTGGTTTTTTTTTTTTTTTTCTGGGCAGATTTGCCCCAAATCCCTCAAATTCCCCCAAATCCACTCGAATTCCTGATGATTTCAATCAAATTCCTGAAAATTCCCCCAAAATCGCCGAAATTCCACCGAAATTCGCTCAAATTCCTCACAAAATGCCAAGAATTTTCCAAAATCCCCCCAAATCCCAAAAATCCCCCCCAAATATTCCCTAAATCCCTCAAATCCATCCCAAAATCCCCTCAGTGATCCCAACCCATTTCCAAGATCCCAAAATCCCCTCCATCACCCCCAAAATCCCAAATTCCCCCCAAAATCTCCTCAAATCCCCTCAAAATTCCCAACAATTCCAAAAAAAAATTCCCAAAAATCCCCTTTAATCACCCCCAAACTCCCTAAGGACCCCCAAATCCTCTTAAATCCCCCCAAACCCCCTAAATAACCCCCAAAACGACCCCCAGACCCCCAATACCTCCCCAAATCCCCTCATAGATCCCAAAATTCCTCAATATTCCCACAAAATTCCTCAATATTCCCACAGAATTCCCACAAAATTCCCTCAAACC